GGGTGGAGGCAGTGTTGCTATGATTGGCATTTTCTTTGCCAGCCCTGAGCCCAGATGTTTTCCTGAGAAGGGTATTCTGTTGGCTTTTGGCTCAGAAGACCCTGTTTCCCTGTAGGAACATACCAGAAAGATGACAAGGAGTGCCGAGCACGAACTCACACCTCAATTTCAGGAAAAGGCCCACACAGGCTAAGGCTTCAGGCCTCATCAACTCCCCGGCTTCGCCTTCCCCGGGCCCTACTGCTCGGTTTGTCCGTCCTGTAGGTCCTCCGGAGGGTGTCACCTGCTTGCAGAGTCAGCAGGTCGGAGAGAGGACCAAGTCCTGGTTTCTATGTTCGAGGCGGCAAATGGCCCGCCTGGCCTGTGCTGGGGGGAATCACAGTGAAACTGACACTCAAGGGGAAAGGGCCCCGCCCACGGCGGCCTCGCGTGGCTGCTGCTCCCCGGCCTCGGCGCCGCGAGCTCGTGATTCAGTAATAACTGGAAGCACAATCGCCTTCTCACTCACTGTTTTTTAACGGTTTATTCATAAAGCAATTTTTCACTTTTCATTTATTTTCGGCCCCTTTCACATCTATCTACTCACAGTTTCTGTATTGGTTTAACCTTTCCCTCTCTCCTCCGCCCTCTCTCTGCTTCGTTGTTCTTTATTCCCTTTTTTAAACCTCGAACCGTTAAAAACAGTATTGAGGCCTTGAGTGCTGTGCTGACCAACGTGTTTCCTTGAAACCAAAATGTTTCCTCCTGGGTTCTCTCCATGGGGTTCCCATTCCCTTCTTTGGCTACCAGTAACATCGGCCCCTCTGCTCTCTGTGGCAGCAAACATATCTTTTCGAGGCTCCCTATAAGTAGGCCTTTCTTTAAAAAAAAGATGAAGAACCCCCTCCCCCGCCCCCTAAACTAAACATCTTAGATCACGCAGAACTCTAGTAAAGGTTTGACTTTAGCCCAACCCATTATTTCCGTTAAAAGAAACTTGATTCCTTTCAGATGAGTATAGTAATTCATGGGGAAAGTTCATAGTTCTCACAAATGAGCAGGACTTTTGTGAGCCCAATCTCATTTGCCAGAAGAAGTCACAATAGTTCTTTCCATCCAAACCTTGACCCCGTTTCCATTTTCTCTGACATCGCTCTAAATTATAAATATCTGCCCATAGCAACAACCCGAGTCCAGGGAGAACAGATGCGAGGGAAATAGAAAACGATGGGCTCTTGGCGGCTGGAAAGTTGTACTACTTTGGAAAGAGCAGGAAGACCGAAGATTGACGCCTTCGTTTTATGGATCAAGAAATGGAGGTCTGCCCTGGCGGAGTTGGCTCAGCGGTTAGAGCACTGCCCCTCCGACCTAAGGGTCTCAGGTTCAATTCCCGGTCAAGGGCACATACCTGGGTTGCAGGTTCAATCCCCAGCCCTGGTCGGGTCTGTGCGGGAGGTAACAAATCCCTGTGTCTCTTTCATATAGATATCCCCACACACACACTCTAAAAGTTAATGGATGTTTGGCTGGTGTGGCTCAGTGGTTGAACATTGACCCATGCACCAAGAAGTTGCCGGTTTGATTCCTGGTCAGGGCACATGCCCAGGTTGTGGGCCCATCCCCAGTGGGGGTCATGCAGGAGGCGGCCAATCAATGTTCTCTCTCATCGATGTTTCTATCTCTCTCTCCCTCTCACTTCCTTTCTCTCTGAAATCAATAAAAAAAAAATTTTTTTAATTAATGGAAAAATATCCTTGAGTGAGGATTAACAAAAAGAAAGAGAGAGAGAGAGAGAGAGAGAGAGAGAGAGAGAGAGAAGGAAAAGAAAAGAAAAAAGAGAAGAGAAGAGAAGAGAAGAGAAGAGAAGAGAAGAGAAGAGAAGAGAAGAGAAGAGAAGAGAAGAGAAGAGAAGGCCCAGGGAAGTTTCAGGACTGTCTTGAGAGCACACAGATAACAAGGCACTGAACCAAGACTAGAACTAAACGCCTAAAACCCTGGTTCACTGCTCTTTCCACTGCAGCGAGAGCTCAGCTCCCACCAAAGGCTGGTATATTTTGAGACTCTGGCCCCGGGAACCATGGAAGTAGTTCCATGAATGACCCTTAGTTGGTTGATCTCCCAACAACTCCACTCTCTGTCACTTGTACTAAAACTGGGGGGTAAAGGAGGGTTACGGGGAAGCAGATGCGGGTTTGTTAGTTTATAGTATTCTGTGAAGCTGGGAATGGAGAGTATTTGCATAAATCAGTTTAAAAATAACTTTTTGAAACCTTGGTATCGTTTTTTGTTTTTGGCCTAAATCACAGGATCAAGGCTACACTGAGATTGAAATCACTTCTTGTTTAAGGAGCAGGCCTCTGCAGCTCTTCGAGCAAATGGACGTGAGGGTTCTGAGGACTCGGAGCTTGAAAACAGATGTGATAGAAGGCTCATCCGTGGGTCCTGAAACAGTTCTTGCAGCCACTAAATACTCATAAATGGGCTCCAAAGAGGTAGCCTGAGTTCAGAAGGATCTGGCCAGAGGTTGATTAATGGACACCTTATGGACAAAGAACTCTGTGGTCTCCTAAAGGAAAAAGAAGGGTCTTCTGAATTGGGTCAGTGATCACATTTTATGTGACCTCTCTCTATTCATGAATTTATTTTAGCTGCCATCCTCCATGGTACAGCCTTCCTTTCTAGACCAGATTACCCCAAAGGCCTGGTTTTACATTACTTTCATTTCTCTGTTCTGGCCTTTTTAAATTATCTCCTTTTTAAAACACACACACACACACACACGCGCGCGCGAGCGCACACACACACACACACAAACACGATTAAATAAATGGATGGTTCCTAATTTTCCCCAAAGAAAAAAAAAATCTAGAAATGTGCCCATAAACTCCCATAGAACAATATATTCCACATATTCCCTTATGGTGGGGAACTGAATACATCATTCTAAACAGAGCCTTTATTTTAAGGAAAGACTCAGAAAACGATGATTTCTTCAGTCTTGTCCTCGTCCTACAAACAGCTGCATGAAGCATCGATCCAACTGTGTGGATGCTGGCTGGGTAGAGTTGTGCTTCTAGTGAATATTATCTTTTCATGTAACGTTTCATTAAACAGCCAAGTCCACAAGTGTTCCCAAGATATATAACTCTCAAAAAAAAAAAAAAAAGACATGAGTTGCCAAGTAAAGAACTATGATTTATGATAGTAACTGTTACACTCTGGATCTTATTGGGCTTTGTTTTGAAAAATTATTACCACAATGGTTCTGTAGAATTTAGTAGTGCAACCAGCACCATTTGGCACGTTTATGACAATAGGGTTCTGGTTTTCTTAACCCCACAGTTACATGTTGGCAGCATTTCAAGTTCTTGGCACAGATGTTTAAGTGAATATAAAGAAGAAACATTAAAAAAACATTGGGCAGTTTCGAGTGTTCACATGTAAGGAGCATGATTTTCAGAACATGCAGTTAGCATGGGCGTGGAACCATGGGCGTTGTGATGGATGACACGGCATGAAAACCATTTGCAAAGAGCTTTGGGTTTTTCGTTGAAGGCACTAACACGTTCCTAAAAGCATCTCCTATTCACATTTGTCAAATGAGACTCGAGTTATTTGTGCCTGGAGACAGGTTAGTTTCTGGAGCATCAAAGGACAAGCAGGTAGGTCCCTTCCCACCATGTGACCCTTGGGGTGACATGGCCACCCTACCACACCTGGGTTTCACACTAACAATGCCCAGCTTCTGATAAAACAGAAGCTTTCTTGAATTTAAATACACAAGTGGCAAGCCTACTTCCCAAGTTGTGAAGAAAACAAATACCATGAGCTGTAGGGCAGGAAGATTTTGCAGAGCACAAAAGAACTGACGCTCTGTGGGCATTCAGTGCTAGCTACTGAAACAAGTGATGGCACCAATAGGCAAAGTGTTCCTTGACTCAGCTTCTTAGGGCTTCCCCAGGGCCCCCCACCCATGAGAAGGCTGGGTCTGCGCGCGCGCACACACACACACACACACACACTGGCACTAGGCTGGGAAGGCATCTCTGGAATTAATCCAAGTCTTCCTTACTTCCCCACCACCCCATGCCCATCAGCAAAGTAAAACAAAAAAGCCCAATAAAAGCAAAGAAATCTTCCCCCACTTACTGGCTAATGTTTGAAATCTTTCCTTAGAGAACACTTTTATAGTTCATAATTAAAGAAAAAATTTACACTGTCGAGTAATGAGTGAGATAACAGATCAGCTCTTCAGGTCACTCCCAGGCTGTCCCTGATGGAAGTGGGGAGACGAGGAATCATCGCTGTGGGGGTTGGGGGCAGAACAGAGACAAACTGTGTCATGTTCGAAATCTGTCCTGGGGCCACCTTTGTAGTATGGGTAAGATACTGCTCCTGGCCCCTCACTTAAGACACTAGACAAGCATTGGTAGAGCATGAACATTTATATTTAATTTACATTTTGACAATGAGCACATAAATAACAATGTAAACCAGTACGTAAACATAAGATAGTTGGTTGTTCTAGCTAAGTAAAAAGCCAATAACTTGGGTCGGTTTTGACTTTGAGGGGAAATAACAGAACCACTGTGGATTGTGGGCGCAACATTCACATGAAAGAGGCCGAGGAGGGAAGCCAGACGCGCAGCGCCAAGCAGGCCTCACGCCACGGTGCAGGCCTTGGTGAAAATCCCACTCGAGAAAGCGCAAAGGGGAAAGAGAACGAGCGAGTGGTTGAGAACAGAATGCGTTCGGGACAATGTCAGCGTGATGCTTTGGTTTACCTATAATAAAGGACCGTGTTTGTCCAATACTAATACATAAAAAAAGGTCAGTTTTGCTACTTATAGGAACAAGTCAGTAAGGCTCTGGGTTTCCCTGGCTTATCCTGAATGTGTTGTTCTCTTCTGCTGGTTGACAGTAGTTGCCGTGAACACAACGCTGCATATATAAAAACCAGATTGATGAGTGATACATGAGCTATTTAGGAGGGGAGAGGAAGAGAGAAAAAAATTACAATAATAAAGAATAATGGAATTTTTATTTCCATGACTTGGGTATGACCACATAACCATAATGTGACAAAGGAGCAATAAAGCCATCTTAGATTGTCCTTGATAGTAAAGAGCAACGTCTCTCTTTCTCCCTGGCTATGTGGTCCTTCCCATGCACCAAGGTTGAGGGTCTCTTACAATGGTTGGGGTGCTAAGCTCATCAGTATGATTGTGAGGTCACTGAGTGCTAAACAAAGTCTCAGAGAAGGCTTTCTTTTTTTTTTGTTTTGCCCTTAGGAAAAATAAGTTCTTTTACATGGTTTGGCTCACAATTTAAAAGTGGTTATAAATATATTATATATACACAGTATAGTGGTATAAATAGATTTATAAATATACATCATTCTTTGCTACACCTTGAATGCCGACATGTCATCTTTGGGCGGCAGAGTAAGAGACAGAATGGCATCGGTCCATCTTTCTGGAGCACATTTAGTTTTGTCTGAGTAGCAAATCACTAGATAAGACATCATTTCCTGCACTACTGGACACAATCAATGAGGTAATCGTTGTTGAACAACTTTGCAATGCCCTTTCATCTTCAATTACATTAACCATAAAGTGTAAAAACACAAATACTGAGGAAAATCTGAGTTTTACAGAAAGAATACAATTGATGTGTTGGGGACAGGAATGCTCATTACCCGCCTTTACCCTAAGACAACGAGAATACCCGCTTATTGGTGGTTGGTTTTGTTTGATTGTTTTAAAGTATGGCCGGAGCCAATCTACCTCCCTGGTAGAGCACTATGCCTGTGCAATTTTTGACATAAAAAAAATCCACAACAAAAACATCACCCAGACTCAAGTCCCCAAACCTCATACACATAAAACCGTCTGTGCTTTGGGGACGCTTCGCAGTGGTTTTAAACATGGCAATTGGTCTTCTTCACATTTTCAGATAATAAGGTGGGATGCAAAAGTCACGTGGCAACCCTGCATGGTCACATGACTTTGGAGTGGGAGAGGGAGACAGGTTTTTTGGAGAGGGAAACAGGTTGGCAGGGCCTTGTCACTTTTCTCGTAAATCTGTGGCTGGGGAAAAATAACTGCACTAGCTACAGAAACATACAAGATTCCCTTTCTTGTTTATCTACTGGAGTTATTACTGGGTAATTCTGCACACATACCCCCACATTACACATAGCTGTTCAAATGATATGATCCTACAAATTAACACATCAACTGTCTGACTTTGGCAATACCAAAACCTCACTTTCAAACCATCACTGTAAAGGGAGGTTGACTGAAGTATAATGTATTTGTTTACTAAATCTTAGGTACTTAAACAGATGTGCAGAAATTGTCTACAAAGAATGGCCACAAGACAAAAATATAACCTTTATACTCAAATTAGAAGGAATTTTTCCAGTCATTGTAAACGTTTTTAATTATTGCTTCTTAAATGGTAAATTGTATAATAAATTATGAAGAATTATCATTGAAAAAATAATTATGGCTAGGCAATAGTCTTAGCAATGGGAAGGCTATGCAAACATATGCACACACAATATTCAAAATACACAGGTTCAAATATATATATATACACACACATATATATATATGGGTGTAAATAAGTATATATAATATGTATATAGATTGTCTTTGCTGCGTTTTCGCCCTGAGATTTCAGCAACTTTGGAGTTCCTTCTGTAGTTCCAGACAGGTGAGGGAGCGGCACCTGCCGTCAGGAGAGCTTTGCAGAACCGGGTCTATGTACAAGTAGTTTGCTACAGGCACCCTGACTTGCCAAGTCATTAAGTTAAACAAAACATAACACTCTGTTTTCTGAAAATCTTAAGGATCCACTGGTTCGACTGTTTCCTGTTTGACCTTGACAGGTCCCAGAGGTAGTGGGTTGCTGGGAGGCAACTTCATGAGGGACAGGTCTGATGACTCATAAAGGTTACACCCTGAGAGGAGTCCATTCCCCATGCTTCTTTGCAAAGACACTTTCAGGCCAGTTTCTTCTCTTTCCTTCCTGACCACGGCCAGGATTTCTTTCTCCACCACAGAGGTCACATCGATGTCCTCCATGTCCTCGAGCCGGTCGGCATTGTCACTGATGTCAAACTTCTCGATTTCCTCATTGATTCGGGTCAGGTCCTCCAAAGGCAGCCCCGTGGTGGGGGCCACAGGACAGTTCCCCTTCAGGTGGACCTTGAGGCTGCAGAGATGGATGTAGCTCTTGTGGCAATGGGCACACTTGTGGGGCCGCTCCCGGGTGTGTAGGCGCTTGTGGAGTTTCAGGTGCACGAACTGGGTGAACTTGGCGGGACACACCTTGCACTGGTAAGGTTTCTCTCCGGAGTGGAGTCGCAGGTGGGTCTTGAGATTGCTGGTGCTGCTGAATCGCTTGTGGCAAACCTGCAGTGTGGGGAAGAGGGCACGGAGGAGAGAGGGAAGAGCAGAGGATTAAGAGTGGCCAGTGGGAGGGGCCGCCCACAGACCCACAGACCCACGCCCAGCAGCCTGGGAGGGGAGACGCCTCCCTGTGGCACTTATGGTGTGGCGTTAGGCAAGCAGGGCGATGTGGCCACACTGTACTCGAGGTGGTGTTTGTTTCCCCTACCATTTTCCACCCACAGGACGCTGCCTGTGTTGCCATCTCCGCTCACAGCAGGGACGGGGCTGCCGGCCCGTGCTAAGGCAGAGTTCTGGTGGTGTTGGCTAATCTATGGGAGGCATGACCTGGGGAGGGCAACTCCCCAGACACTTTCTACAAAGGTCAAAAGTTCTACCCCAAAAATACTGCCCACCTGGCATTCATGTGGCTTTTCTCCCGTGTGTACCAGGTAGTGTTTCTGCAGGTGGGCGAGCTGAGTAAAGCCTTTGTTGCAAGTCTGACATTTGAAAGGCCGTTCTCCACTGTGCACTCTGAGGTGGACCTGGGAAGAACCACACGTGTTAGCTCTGCGCTCGGGTCCCAGAAGACCTAACGCATTCCTGCTCGAGGACCTAGGCACACATGATGCAAGATCTTAAGAAAAGCATCAAGATAAAGTCTGAAACAGAACAAATAAAGCCCTGAGGTTTTCAGAACACTTGGTTTGAGCTCCAGGAACAGAAGTTACAGGCTAGCAGGGACTTTCAACGGATCTTCCAGCCCAAACCCCATGTTTTTACTATTCAGAAGAAACTCAGGACTTGGAAGTACAGCCAGGGGTGGCACAGCCAGGGGTGGCAAAAGCAAAATTCAAACCTACAACGACTGTTCCTGGCCCGGGTCCCACACTACTGCAAATGAAATCGCTACCCTGCAGAAGGTGAGCTCGACACAGACACACTCACGGGCACAGACACCAGCACACACCCCGGGGCCTACCTTCAGGTTGGAGAGCTGGCCAAAGGTCTTGGAGCAGACATTGCATTCATACTTAATCTTGCCATTCTGCTTCTTCAGCGGGTAGGGGAGTGTCTTGTAGCCAGTCATGTTTCTTTTGTTTTTGATGAGATTCATGGCCTCGTCACTGCTGGGGGCCGCCATGGCTGCTGAGGTAGCTTTGGGCTGCACCACGTGTTCCGCCGAGGCCGCCGTGCCTGCAGTGGGGGACCCGCTGGTGGGGCTGCACACCTTGTCCTTCATGCTGGCGGCGGCCCCCGTGAGGGAGAAGGCACTGTGGGGCGCTGGGACCAGCACCTCTCTGGGGTGTTCAGGCTGAAGCAGCCGCCGAGCTCCTTCCGAGGGCAGCGAGCCGGGGAGGGCGGCCGGGTTGAGCATGGGGTGAGGCAGGCTGCCCCCTCCGAGGAGGTTGCTGTACACGGGGTACAACCTGGGGAAGAGGCCGAAGTTGTTCACGCCGTTGATGCTGCCCACGGTGCTCAGGCCGTTGCAGTTCATGCCGTAGGGGGGCAGGAGGAACTTGGAGTAGTGAGCGCTGTAGGAGGGGAGGAAGGCTGGGGAGAGGTGGTGTGGGGGCGCGTACCCCGGGTAGGGGCCCAGGCCTTCGGTGCCGTAGGGCGCGTTCAAGTAGGAGTAAGAGTCCCGGTGCTCCTGCGAGCCGGGGGCCAGGGGCGACACGGTGTTCCCGGGGCTGCTGTGAGGGCTGGAGCTGTGGAGGCTCCGGTCAGGGCTGCTCCTGGCCGAGGGGCTGGGCGTCGTGGAGGACGGGAGCGGGGACGGGGTGATGTACGTGGGCCTGTCCATCCCGTAGGCCAGGGACGCTTTCAGAAAGTCTTCGGGCAGCGGGGCCCGGATCGGGTACACGACCCGGGGGTAGAAAGGCATTTCGGGGCTCCCGTTTTTCCTGAAGTCGTCTGCGTCCTTTTCTGAAGCGAGGGGTGAAATGCTGGAGCGGTGGAAGTCCTTGCCTTTGGAGGGGGCGCAGTCCATGCGCAGGATTTCCTTCACGCTGTGCTCCCTCTTCGGGAGCGGCTTCTCGGGGCCCTGCCGCGGGTGGCTGGGTGTCTGCGCTGGGGGGAGGAAGGGCGATTACTCAGAGGGGTGCAGAGAACCGCAGCGAAACTGCCCACGTGGTTCCCTCCCTGAGAAAACCTGAGCGCCAGCTGCCCACAAGCGCGACACCTGGTTTCTCAACGCCCCCTGCCCGGCCCGGCCCGGAGTCCCCGACAGGCCGGATGGGCCGAGCGCAGGCCGCTGGGTCGGCTCTTTCCACCAGCGAACCGAGCCGGTGCCGGGAAAGTGCTGCTCAGGCTAGAACAGGGGCGCTTCCATCCCAACGGGGTGGACAATACCTGGGTGGGGGGTGTCAGGGGAACAAACGTCTTTCTCAGGCAATCAGCACGACCCATGTCGAGTGATAAGCAGTCATCATTTTTCACCTTCGTTCTTGTTTAATACAAATCCGCTAAGACCCTGTTCGCACCGCCTATGCCCGATGGATTGCAAGCGCGGTGCCGCCCTCGCCCTCGATGTGCTGACTCGCAAGGGTTCCACCAGGGCCTGTCTGGTCTGAGCAGCAGGGCCGTCCCTGGAATCCGCCGCACGACACAGCCACCTTTGCCAAACCACAACAGGCTCCGCCGAGCCAGTCCAATTACTTAGAGCACCAAAGCAAACAGGCAGCTAGGATGAAGGAATTTATTCCAAAAGACGGCAGATGCCTACTTGGTCAACACACTCTTTAGGAACAGCAGCGATGAGGACATTTCCAGTCTCTCCAGGGCATCACCAGCCCTGCCCCTCCCCACACACAGAACAAAGGACGCCTTCAGGAAAACACCAGCCAGAGCAGGGAAACCAAAAATTCCATGCTCAGCCTTCCTCGGAAACCAAAAGTAAAACAGATGCTGCTTAGCTGGAGCTCAGGTCACCGGAGGGCACTCACTCTAACTGAACACCTGCCCTCGCGCAGGACCAGGCTGAAGGCATCAGCCACCAGAGGCCCTTAGGAGCTCTTGGGGATGCGGCTGAAACCTCTGTAAAAGTATCACGCGTCTTAAAAAATGTCCCTGTTTCACTGAACTGAGAAGGAACTCCAGGCTTGATATCCGATAGGTCTAGAAATGAACTCTGTGGAACTCCAGATTCTGAACTCTTCAAATCCATTCTAGGTTGACAGGCCAGAGGGATTCGGTTCCAGTTTGAGAGCCCTTCAGAGAATGTTATCTGCTGCGAGCTGTTATCAGTTACTCCCGGGTGAGCCAGCAGCCCCAGAATAAACACAGCCGAGACACTATCAGGGAAGATGCTGATGGGGGCAGTGATGGAGAGCTTGTTGAGGGAGAGGGATTTCTGAAGCCACTAAACCAAAATAAATACCCCTTTATCAGGCCAATATCAGTCTTTCAGTGAGGCCCAGCAGGCAGGAAGTTCAAATTGTCACTTTTGTTTTTTAAAGCTGAAATGGTAAAGGAAGAGAGACAGCAAAGTTGGAAAGCTGATAGGCAAAGCCATCTATCTCAGAGCCACAGGAAGGAATGTCAGATGTCGACCAAGCACGATCCAGAGGTGCGCGTTCACAAAAACTGTCATCCTAACAAAATGAAAATGCAGACACTTCACCATCATAACTTTCTGCCATTTTTACGTGGCAAATCACATGTAAGTCTCTTAGTTTTTTGGTTTTTTTTTTTTTTAGTGGCTTCAGTACTCCCTTAATTCTAATACTCAACGACTTAAAGCTGAAAGCAAAACGCTCAAGTCCATCCATAGCCTTGTTCCTCCTATTTAGTTAGGTGTTCTCACTAAGCACCGCAATAATTCGTCTATTGAACCGAAACAAAGCTAACGACTGGGCCAACACACAAGGAAGCTGGAATTCATCATTTTCTGTGCAAAACACTTAGCACAGTGTCCGGCATATAGTAAATCCACAATAAATGTCTGCTATCCTTATGCCTTTGGACAAACAAACGTCCATCTTATTCCAAAACAATATCCGGAGGGAAGTGTCCGCCCTCCCGAGATGTTCGAGGTGGAAACCATGCCATCCCCATGAAGATACATTTTGAAAACCCATCCTTCAGCCGCTGAGTAATCAGGGAAGCTGGTGTCATTTCTGACTCCCACTCAGCAGCAGCTCGAGTTAACGTGAAAAGGAAAATCAAGATCTGTTTTTGTTCTTAAATCTTACATGGCTGTAGGCGGACAGAGTCATTTCAAGAGTGAACTGCTTCTGCAGGCACTGAATGGCTTAATTATGCCGACTCACATTTTCGATCTATAATAAGAACCCCAAGCCTACAAGAAAGAACCTAGAAGTTCTGCAGTAGGCAAAACAAAGTCTGTTTTCAACTGAAACTGAGAAAGCAGATTAATATTTAGAAGTCTATAACTTGGTCAACTGTTTTCTAGATGGATTAGTAAGATAGATAGAAAAAAATACCAAAAGAGAGAGAGAGAAAAAAAAAAAAACCTTGGGAGGGGTAGGAGTTAGACTAGTCCCGATTCCTTTTTTAAAAAATGTTTTTGAAAACGCCAATTCGTGATTTCTGGAAATTTTTTTCTTCGCTTCAGTTTGCTTCAAATCTCTTCTCAACTCTGCCAATTGGACCGTCACGGCCACGGACAGCCCGCACGGGGTTCCGGCGCAGTCCTACATTGTGCGTGAGGTGTGGAAACCCAACACAACTCACTTGCAGACAGTCTACCTATTAGGCCTGATGAAATAGTGGAAATTTTCCTGATCAGAGTCTCAGTCATCAGTCACCACACCTGAGACAACTGGTTTCACAATCGCAGTAGGAGTCCTGGCCCAATGTGACTGATATTGTCAACTCTCGTTCTTTAATACGAATACTGGCCAAGAAGAGGTACTTGGGAGTGTTAAATCACCATTTAGGAAAAAAGTTCTCCCTAAACAAAGAGGAATATGTGAGAGAAGAAAGGTGTCATTTCACAGAATACAAGAATGCTGCTCCTGAACACAAAGGATAAGCCCTTGAATATTAAAATACTGTGCAAAGCTTTTCATTGGGGGATACAAATGCAAGACCCTGCAAACCTTTCTTTGACAGGCAGAGAGTGAGGAAAGTACGCATAAAAGCTTTTTTTGGGGTGGTTGGTGCAAGGTCACTGGGATGCATCACATCAAATGGAGTTACTGTTTAAAAAAAAAAAAATCAAAGTCTTTCTCTGAATCCATGAATGATTAAGCTCAAGGACTGTAAGAAGACCCCCCAAGAGGAAGTGACTTGCTATGCTAAGAAAGTTAGGAAGCAGCTGCCTACCTCCCCATGAGATGCCCTATGGAATATAAGTTGTCCCTTACCACCAGGCCCTGAACACTGGCCCGGCACACACAGATGGTGAAATAGCTGAATGGCTCCTGGGATGCCTGAACCCGGGGACATGACAGAGATTCTTTGAAACAGTGAGAAGAAATGAGGGACAAGAATAGCCACCTTTGGCCAGGACCTGATTATCTCTATCATACTCATGTTGAAGCCAGTGTATTTCCAAACATTCTAAGACTTCTTCATGAAGCTCAGTGGTGCACATGTGTGTGTTCATTCTCATGTGTGTATGTGGACCGCAAATACATATCTGAAAGGAGATCCTGTAGAAGAAATCTTCAATCTTTCATAGTCACTGTTTTTTCAGAAAACTATAAATAGTCTTGAGATCATAGGAGGAGATCACAGGGAGATCAAGTCAAGTAACTCTGGGATGAGCACTAAATAGCTATCGCGTTGGATTATACCTGACTAGCATAAATTATTATTTTATTCATGGGTCCTAGAGTTGTAGTCAAAATTCTAATTTACATTACTATTAACATTATTACAAAAATCTCAAAGATGAAAGTGTGAACGAAAACAATTTAGCTTTCAGAGAAAGCATATGGGAAAACATATCAATGATTGATGAATCTGGGTAAAGGGTATTTGTACGATTCTTACAACTCCCCATTAAGTTTGAAATGATGTCAAAGCCAAGAGTTACAAAAATGTCAGCATTCAGATGCTAAAACTTTTAAACCAGAAGATTTAAAGCTTTACTTAAAAATATTTAATTAAAAAAATGGCTTTATTACTTAGCAGTGTAACAGAACACACAACATGGTTACAAGAGGTTGGGATGTTATGGTAATTCTTAAATCATTCACAGAGGTCACCTGAGAATGACTAAAATGAACTAGCCCTTTGCAGAGAGGTAAGGACAGCAACTTTCACCAAATAAAAACATTAAAGGTTATGAATCTAAGAAATTGAGAATTTAAGATAAAGTGATAGGTGGATACTATAATACTGATCAGGCGATCAGATGAAGGAAGGAAGCTAAGATATAAAATCTTGTTATTGATTAGGACAATATTTGAAAAATTATAGCTATGAGTTTTTCTGGAATCAATCTCATATGTTCCACATCGAACCATAACTTAAAAACCAAATGTGCATCTCGACACGATTTCAATACCAACAAATGACCACAAACCAGGGCAGGCGTGGGCTGTGCTTCACCTTGCAAACTTAGCACCTTAGGACTAATCTCTAGTTTACTCCTACCTGCCCCCTTTTGGATAGATTAGAACTGGAACATCCCTTTCTTCTTGTGACTTTCTGAATTAAATACTCAAAGTAGCTCCTAATATTTTTTTAAATGATCAAGTTTTATAATAGGAAACAGGCACGAAAAAGTTTCCCCCTCTCTCAGTGCCTCATTTAAGCCACCTACTTGGCCCAACAGATGAAGCCATATAATTAAACAACGTGTTATTAGCTCATAGGGGCAGAACTGACATGACTGGCATTTAAAATTTTTTTGTTCTGTAATCCACTTACTGAGATTCATCATTGTCAGCTCTCCAGGATAAGGGTAGTGAAGTCTTTCTGAAAAGTCCCGACAGTACCACACAAGAAGCTCCTGGTTGGCAGGAATGGGTTTAATGGTATAGAAGTAGATGTTCATCCCGTTCTGACACGCAGCCAGGTTCTGCTCCCGGGCATAGTGCGCCGGATTCACGTAGCGCATCCAGTTGCTTTTCTCCTCATTAAAGCCATCGATGAAGTGGAGAAGCTCCCCTCTGGAGTAGATCTGTCCAAGAGAGAAGACAGATGGGTTGAAGAGTCAGTCCCAGCACCTCTAAGAATCAACACAGCAGGCACGTGTCTGATTTCTGGTCCCCTAGTGCCTGGCTAGAAAAAGAATCAGATCGGTTTGAATAGTCTTGAATCAGCAGAAACAAGGGCGGAAATAGGCAAGGCACACTTTGTCAGTTACCTTTTCCATCTCGGTTTTACCGTCTTTGCACACGTGGGGGAAAATAACAGAATGAAACACAAAATTTCATTTAAGAAGCTGCCTCAGAAGAATGAAACCACCAGAGTCCTACTTTTGCTACAGCAGCAGATGGCAAATGGGTGATGCGAGCCTGAGTTCTGATTGTGCTGACTTTTAATGCTTTGAGTCACAGGGTAGAAGACCAAGCCGACTGAATACGTCAAACTGAGTCTCCACTTTTTCTATGGCCTCTGTACTTGCCATTTCCTACACCCCCGCCCAAGGCTTAAACTATGCAAACATCCTCCACCCCCAAGCCTGAGTCCAGAAGTAACACTTGTTCATATGAATACTTGGAACCTTGCCTTTTTGTGGAAGCACTGGGTGGGGCAAAGGTGAACTTCACCTGCCATAACAAAGTGAACACCGGGACAGAAGCCAGAACCTGACAGTCGACTGAAGAGTCACTTTTCCTCTTGATAAACATGTTCAGCCTTGCCAGAGGAGGGGAGAGGGAACCCTCTTATCTGTGAGGAGGTTGGCTGAAACACCACTCACAGAGCCATAGGCATGTGTTTTTGGAAAAAGAACAGGAAGACACCATGTCGTTCTTTTAAGGCAACGCAGAATGAAGAATTCAAAGTCTGCCTTATAGTCATACTACTTCTGGTTAACAGACGCACCCAGGCCACTCGGGAAAAAGGCAGAGAGGTAAGAACAGGAAAAACTAAAATGTATATTCTCACTGAAACTGCTTCATAAACCCCTTCCCCTTCCACAGAAAGTCTCCCTCTCTCTCCCTCTATTGAACAGGCACCACCTCCTCTTCAGACCTAAGACATTTCCTTACACATAGACGATCGATACCTGGTAATCTGCAACTCGTAGTCTCCAAGGAGCGGGGCACAGCTCGTGGCAGAGATTCTGCTCTCACCGAAGAGCAGGTTATTGCTTTGTTCTTAGTCAACATACTATGTGAGTCTACGAATTGATTCTACATTTCGCTCAAACGTTATCAGAGACGAAAAGGAACTCTGTCCCTTTAACACGGGCAGTAAACACCAGAATCACTTTCTTTTAAGAGTAACTTCCTGTAAATTGTGAAGGGGGAAATACATGTGGCTTCATCAAAGCAGCTTGTGAGAGCTTTTGCGGTGTGTTTTGTTAAGAGAAAATGGAACAAGGCTGGGTGAATTCTGCTATCAAGAGGGGTTTTCAAGTTTGTTTACTCTGATGTGCAAACTTCCAGGAACATGGGGTTCCATCGCTCTTGCTCTCTTCGTTGGGCGGAAACTGCTTTCTAAAGCTACGGGTGTGCTGATTCCAGTCAGCCTTCCACAGTCTACAATTTACTGTATCATTTAAAAACAGAAATAGTGATGCCATGAAGTCACACACACACGAAAATAAAACAATGTATATGTCAGATGAACACTGCTCCCTATCACCTCACTCCATTTCCATACATTATCAAGAAGATTAAAAACGTGCTGACTCATAGTACAGTTACAAGAAATGTCACTGGTTTCTCAACTTGAACATCCCTTCTCTTCTTTGACTGTGCAATTTGCATGGAACTTTTTCTTTCCTCAAACAGATGTTCATATTCCTGCCAGCAAAATCAGGATGCTTTGAACAACATGTGGGAAGTTATCTCCTACAATATCCTTTGCATGTTAAAGACTTATTCAAAAAGTCGTCCCAAGGACAGCATTTTAGTTACTTACAGTGAATCTCTAATGAACCAGGGAATTGGGACAGAGACAGGAGGTTCTTAGGTATTTGCCTTTGTCAAAATGACCAGACATTAATGAGACTTATGCTAGATTGTCTAAATTCAAACCTGCGACTACAGAATTACACACCTCTACAGCTCACTTCTGACAAGATTTTATTGGCAGTAAGGAAAAAAATACACTCACATTTTGCCCATTATAAGTCACATATTTTAAGCATGAGAAAGTTACTTAAAAAATTATGAGCACACAATTTTCAGAGTCCTCTTTTGCTTGGAGAATAGAATAATATATTTCTAAAAACACAAAACTTCTTGGCTTTAAAAAAAAATCTTGTTTCTTAGGAACAGCTTCTGAATGATTGCCAAATATAGCTTTTATCAAGATACTTGTCCAAAAGGTACAAACATTCTAGGTAAATACTGACCAAAGTAAGTATAATCAATTTTTGTTGTTACTATGCAGCTGGTTCTGAAAATAATGATTCCCCAATAGTTGTGTGCTTTTTATGATAGTATGTATAAAAAATGACTTTTAAATTGTGAAAGCATATCTTTATTTTTCTCCTTCATTTTTTATTAATTCTCACATGAGAATATTTTTTTCCATTGATTTTTAAATGTGTTTTTATTGATTTTTTTTAGAGAGAGAGAAAGGGTGAGAGAGAAATATCAATGTGAGAGAAACATCACTTGATTGCCTTCTGTACGCCCCCTACTGGAGATCAAGCCCACAACCTGGGCATGTGCCCAGACCCGGAATTGAACTGGGACCTCTCAGTCCATGGGCCAATGCTCAATCCACAGAACCACACTGGCTGAGTTTTTGTTTGTTTTTTTCAATCCATTGATTTTTTTTTTTTTTTTTTTTTTTTTGAGAGAGTAGAAGGGAACGAGGGATAAGGGAGGAACAGAGAGAGATTGAGAGAGACATCTATTAGTTGCCTCCTGCATGTACCCTTCTGCAACTCAGGTACATGCCCCTGACTGGGAATTGAACCAATGACCCTTAGGTGTGCAGGCCGACATTCTAACCACTGAGCCACACTGGCCAGAGCATTTTTACTTTATAAACAAGGAAACTAAATATCCCAGAGAGAGCTATGGGAAGACAAAAAGCAGTCTGATTTTTTCTCTGTTCACTCTTAATTCAGGGTCTTTTACTCATCTAATTAGTTCACTAATTAGGTGAGGTCCTTTCTAACCCTGAGATTCCAAAGGAAATTGTATTGGCCAGACTTTTTGACTGGATGTTATAAGAATGTTTATCATCTTGCATGACTGTAAGCATTTTCCCGATGCTATGGATGTAATAATAATGTACATACTGCCAAATTCGATGGTTTTATGGTGCAGACGAATTTATACAGGACTAGTCCTGAGATCCATATCCCTATTCCCCTAGTGCTACCTTCTACTTAGCCTTTCTGAATGGCACTTTTTTCTAGGTAATTCGTTTATGATTATTCTTCCATTCAATTTCAATTAAAGTTAACTCAGCAAGAAATCAAGAAGAGGTGAAATCTAAGGCTTGGTGACTCATTACTATTTCCTTGCAGAGAAATGCAAATGAGCCTACCCTTGAAGCAAGTTAACAGTTTCCTTTCATCACAAAGCTCGATGAATCGCAAAAATTAAGATTCACATCCAGTCCCTATCTCCATCCCTAACCACCTAAAGGTTGTGTTTCCAGGGTCAAACATTTAGCCAGTTTCATCACACTTGCTTACAATTCGCTATGTCCATGGGGACCCTGAACACTTGTGGCGAGGCCCAGTACTAGTTGAAAAAGGAAGTGACCCAGCAATTCTAGCTCTACTTTTTTTCCTTAATGAATCTGGAAAAACTTTCCATACTCACCCGCCAAAAATATTTTCTGTTGGCGTTCTTGGGAACTGTATCATTGGTGTAGATCTCTCCTATTAGAGGTCCAAACCGTGTTCCCTTTGGTATGTATTCTTTACTGACCACTCCAATAATCTAAAGGAGGTAAAACATATGAAACAATTACTTGGACTGTAAAATATTAACCAATCGTTTTCTTTAAGCGATTTGATTTGTCAAGTGGTAATGCAACCAACAATGACGAAATTATGATATGGCGCCTATGTAATTAACAATGAGCTTCACCTTAAGGGAAGACCATTTTTAAACTCTCAGATCATAAACAAATACTCAAACAAGCATTAAAATAGTCTAGAGGATTATTCTCCAGTGACTGAAGGTCCTTTATTTTTATTACTTCTTATGCTAGAAGAACAGAGAGGGTAACCATTCTGTTTTAGGATGAGAATCAGATACTGCAGAATTAGATAGTCAAGGTTAGACCAGTTTAGCCTGCTCCTAGTTTCCTATTTCTCCTTCTCCCTCAAACCATAAACACAGTGTGCTTGAGGGGAATAAAATAGTTTTAACCTCAGAAACCAAAATAATGTCCTTTGGTTGTTCCACAAAGCCTAAGGAACCAGAGACCAAACACATTAAATTTTTTGAACCCAGATGAGGGTGTTTGTTTTTTCATAGCTTATAAGCTCTCTTTATTAGAAGAAAGATCTTTCAAGAAACTTTTGTTCTTCTCTAGCATTTTCTACTCAACAGTGGTCAAAAGTCTTCCTTTGAAATGAAATTTATACTGAGGAGAGTTGTGGGTTCTGAGAGCTGTGGGTTCTAAGATCTGAGGAAATGACCTTCTCAGACTGGATGATCGCACATTCTGTCTTTGCAGGGCCTTACTAAAGAAACATGTTAACTATGCCAGTTCCTCCTTGATCGTAAATTTCTTTCAGGGGGAGGGTGAAAAAAAAAAATCACCAACCGCAATCAGGAAGAAATTCATCACTATTTAAAAAACTCCTCTGTATAAGTAGTCCTTTACAACATTTTGCAGTTGCAAGTTTGTTTTGGTTTTATACACTCACTCATTTTTATTTTATTCTCATCCAAAAGAGCCTACAGATTAGTTACTAAATACCATACTGAAATGGACCAAGAGGGTAGGTTTTTATTATCCCTAGTGGTTCCTGTGTAATTGTGTACCTGAAGTGAAGGCCCAAATATGTAAACCAATAAATGTTCACAGTGGAATCTAAGATTTTGGTGACAATATACACTGACATTTCATTCAATTGCATCAAGAATTCAAACCTCCGTTTAAATGTGTCTAGAATAGGTACCCTATTAAGGTAGGGACAACCCAGTCTTTCTTACATTTCTTATCAGCCAATCATTTTTTAAATTTATTTTTATTTATTTACTCAGTTATTATTTTTAATAGTTTTTATTATTCAAGATACAAGCCAGTGGAACATACCCAGACTGGAAAGACAGAAAATTTTTTTTTTTTACACCTAACACAAGTTGAAACAAAGTTGGTGAGCTAGAGCGTTATTTTTGGTCCTTTATGAATTTCTGGCAGACAGGTGAAAAAAGCAGATGTTCATTTTATCCTCTTCCTCTGCACTCATTTACATCTATCTGCCCTTTCAATAACAGGTTGTCATTATTGGCATTTGTTGGCAGTACAACTACTGGGGACAGGAGTACCTCAGAACAGTCTTGAGATAAAAATATATACTACAGCTTAAGAGGACTTACTGATTCAAAGGCTCAACGTTTATGATACATCATTGAACCTAATTGCAGAAATTCATGGAATTGACTTCTATGGCATGCAAATCATTTGGCATTCATGTCTGAGTGGTTATTCCATAATATTAAAATGACAAACAGGAAAAACAAATAATGTCATTTGTTGGTGAGCCAATAATTAGCAGTTGATATTTTCAACATATCCACTTTAAAGCAGTAATTTTAAGAAAGGTACTCAACTGGTTTATCAACTTGGTTTTAAATTATAGTCTCTGGCAGACAGTGTCTTAGGAGTCAGAGCTTGATTACCAACAAGTGGCATTACATTGAGGTCAGGGTTTTTCTTCCGAATTGCTATTCTTTTCATCATGGGCCCTTGGTTTTCAGCTACCAATGTTCCATGAGGAAAACACACATTTTCTTATGGCCAAAAGAAGTCAAGTAGAAATTTGAGGAAGATATAAGCCACCCAACACCTATTTGAGCAATATGGGCAAATCACTGGGGAAACCATAAGGCACTACTGGAAGCAACTCTTCCCATCTGTAACCTTACAAGAGCAATACAGCAGCAGGCAAGACAGAACAACTAGCAAGAGGAAGGTCTGCAGTAGAAGAGAGGTCTGTGAAAATCCTTAAGCCCCAAACAAATAAAAGAACCTCAGTATTACATTATCTTTTCACATGAGCCAATACCTTAATATTTTAATTTCCTATTATACACAAAGCTGTAGGGTACATATAGGCTCATATATATATGGGTGCAGAGAGACACAAAACCATAGAATTTTTACAAGGGAAGGAATTGTGTAGCTAATGAGCCATCTGTAGCCATCACCAATCCAGTACTCTAATACACCTTCATCTCAAATCCATGTCTGAGATTTCCAAGAGGACATAATTCCAAGAGGACCTAACAGCCGCACCTTGAAGATTACAGCACTTGGCCAGGTAACTATGAAGGGAAATAGGTACCAGAGTTGTTTTAAAATGAGAAGTGGAAGACCAGGTCATAGGTCTCCCTCTGGCCCTGGAAAGATGCAGCCAGATGTGAATCCTGGCCAACAACATTCCATCCTTGGAGCACGCACAAGGCACAGAGAAACCTGGTGTGTGGCCTGGATTTAGAAGTGCTAAAAAGACCAAGAATGTATTCACCTAGCTGAGGAAGGAAACTTCACTGGAACTGACCAGGGTCCTAAAGAATGTTTGCTGGGGACAGACTGCTGTGTGCCTTCCATAAACCTATCAGTGAGATGACACTGGCCTCGACACCTCTCGCGCCCCCCCCCCCCCCCAAGCTCTTCAATGTCATGGGTTACGTGCGGAGCCGACCCCTCTGCCACGTGAGCAGATCTGTCTCTGTCAGTGGCCTCTGTTACAGAACACTGAGAGGTCTGTGGCTTCTAGACAAAATGAAGATTTCACAACCTAGGATGGATTGGGGGAAGGGTGAAATAAAAATCTGATAGCAAGGAGAATGTAATTTCTTTGTTGTTCTTTTAAAGTAATTCCTCCTTTAGGGAGTGTACGTACACATACATATACACACACACACACACACACACACACACACGGTGGTGGATTTTAATCAGAAACAGCATTCAGGTCTAAACGTGATATGTGAGCATCCTCACCTCAGATTACATTAAGATCATTTTAATAACTAGCTATTTCTCCCCGCTCTTCACTCCTCCCCATAAAATGCCTCATTTGATGACAATTGTAAGGATTATCTGCAATGAGGTGACTAGAACTCTGTTGTAGACCAAGACTGCAGTCTGTAATGCACCCCATTTTTAAAAAAGGGGTGGAGTGAATGGAGATGTTTTGAGAAGGTTTCCTCCTTAATTATCTTTGTATTCAAGGAAATGTGGTAATGCCTCACTCAGTACATGTCTCCCAAATAAAAGGCAGCAGGAAGAAAAGGGAATTGCACCTTATGGGGAGATACTTTTTACAGATGGCTTGAGTTAATAATGGACTTCAATCAAAGTGGACACTGAGTGAGTCCCCATCATCCGTCTGATGTTTATCACCACATGGCTTTGGAAGGTCAGACTCCGAGCCCCAGCGCTTCTAGAACGCAATTTCAGTACAGGCTACTGCTTTTAAAATATAAAGGTTTAAATGGATCTTTCTGTATTCAAATAGTCACAGAAAATTATTTCAGGAGGACAAGGGGAAAATCCCCCTAAAAGAATAATGCATCGGTTCAAAAAGTTTTAAAAGTTTTGAATACTATGTCTATATTTGGTTTGAGTTCTGGAAATAGGAAGTAAGAACAGCCTCATTAAAGGTGCAGAATGATTCTAAACCAAATCTAAAAATGAGGGTCAAGATCAGAAATATGGTTTGTATGTTTTGTTTTTAAACCAAAAAAAAAAAAAAAAAAAAAAGGTGCTGACACATAGCACAAATTCATAATGAAAAATGGTCTTGTTAAAAAAAAATCCCCAAGTATGTCAGCACAACAGTACATAATGTAACATCTTCTGCTACTTAAATGAAAACATTTAAAGAAGGGCAAGTTAAATCAGTCAGATAAAAACTACACGTAGAAAAGCTTATTTTTTTGCCTGTTTCCACAGCTTGTGGGACTGAAAGGACTAAGTGAATAATGATCATGTAAACAGCTCATCGGTCCTCAAGGTCTCTGTTCGAGAACTGGTTTGCAGGTCACATCCTCAGTGGCCCCATTCCACAGTCCTCTTTCACCACCTTAAGGGAGCTGTCCTTCCCCAAAGTTCAAAAAGGAAGGGAGAAACAGAAAAACAGGTACAAATTCCAGAATAAGCTCCAGAGTACTACGTTTAAGTTGGTTTCCTGGTTGCTTTTAAGATTAGGAACAGAAGATGTACTATTTTAGTTAAGTGTTTCAGTTCAATAAAATACGGGAAAATAGAATAAGAGAACCCTGATCCCTTCTTGGGTTAGTTTTGAAGGACCCTCTTTAGGAATGTAGGCACTGCATGCTTTTTGGCGTGCTCAACATACTGAAATAGGGAGTTACACGTCTGGAGAAAACAAGAACTAAACCAGCTCAATAAAGAATCGGTCTGAAGTATGTTCATACTATAAATAAAGCCACAGTGACACCAAGAGGGGCCAGTGAAGCATAATCCAGAAAAGCACTGGCTAGGGAAGTCAGAACTTGGCTCCCTCCAAGCCTGAGGTAAGGGACTATCTCTCTGAACCTCGGACTACTCTACCTCAGGGCATTACTAAATTTAGATATAATTTTAAGTCGAATGATGGAAATTGAAACACTTAAGCTAAGCACTGAGCTGAGGATAGGAACATTGTAGAATTAAAAGGCAAAGATGACCTACAGAATGGAGATTTATTTCAGTTCCAAGGGGCTGGACAGGACAATACAGCACAAATGAACCCGGGAACAGACCAACATTTGGTCAAATCTAATATGGGGAAAAACACACTGCACCTCTTAAAGCCACAGCCAAACCTTAACAAGTCCTACATTGACTCCAGGGGCCACATAGTAAGAGACTTCCTACTGAGAACAGCAAGTAACACTGTTCTCAGTAGGAAGGGGTATAATCAAGGCTGATCTCTGGGGTTTAAGTTTTTGGTAATGTTCATGTACAGCTACAATTTAAATTTTGCTTTTTATAAAATTTGCCTCCACTCTCCCAGCAGGGGGAAAAAAAGTTGCTTTATGATGAAATTTAAAGCAGAGTCGCTCTATTTAATTTCAGACAGCTGTGTCTTCCCCTCACCAAAAACACTGAGCTCAGACACAAACAGGAAAGAGACAAACTATTTCCCAAAGAGGCTCGCTGGATCCTTCAAATGCTGTTCCTTAGAGAAGGAAGAGGGCGATCTGACGTGGCTATAATAAAGAGTCCCAATACTGAATTATGGATTCCAAAGCGAAGGATCCCCTTTTCACTACTCTCTGAAGGCAGTAATAGAATTGCCAGTGGCTTGTGGTCATGCTGGTGGTGGGAAGTCTGTTGAGCTGTCGATCACTTCAACTCAGCCCAGTAGACTAGTGAGAGCAACTGCGGTAGCCAGAACGCTCAAAACAAGAGGTGGTTCTGCAAGTTATTTCACAGCTAAACATCACGCCTAGCTATAATCGTTATATGAAAGGGTAAACACAAATCCTTTGCTCATTCCAAGTTGGGGTTGTCGGCCCCTTTGAAACAACAAAGCGTGTACCCACTTCAGAGACCAGTAAGGAATCAGCCTGCCAGCCCAGCCAGAGCCAAGGAGCTGCCTCAGATAAACAGTGGTGAGCTCTGAAGTCATCCGGACCCAGGACACTTTTACATGACCCTCTTCTAGGTTTATGCCATCACTTCAGTTCATAAACACCTCAGGGTTTTGAGAATAATTTTAGAAACCCAGCCAATAAAGCTGGCTCGTTAAAAAGAATAAAGCCATCTAATGACCCAAAGGAGACAAAAGAAACATGACAAAGTTTTTTTCTTAGAAAAAGTGTTCTCCCTCAAAAGCTACTGTACACCTGGCAGACACAGGCCAGTGAGCCCAGAGTGGCCAGCAGCTTTCTCCAAGCTCGCTGACGATTTCGTCCACTCCATGCTGCAGTTGAGCTTTGCCAAGACATGTCAACTTGCGAAAAGGTTTAACTGTTTACTAATTAGTATGGAACAGTGGAAGGCTGGAGGAAGTGAGCCAGGACAGACTTAGGGAAAGAGAAAGCAATGAAAGAAGGGAAGTAAGTGATCAATTACTTACTGGTACTTAGAGATCCTCACAGATATAGGAGGCCTCAAGGGCAAGTAGGGAGATTTGGCATCAGATGCCAGTCTTCTTCAGCAATAAACCAGCGACTTACCTCTTTGCTTGAGGCATATTTGAAAAGCAGATTCCTGGGTAAGGAGGCCTCTGCCTGAACCGAAGTCCCTCCGTCGGCTCCAGAATCCCAGGGGTGATCATTCACAATGTATGTACACTTCTCTTCAAACTCAGCCTCTGTCCACAGAGTCATATCCGCGTCCTCCATGTCCATTTTCATGGTCCCTTCGGTCCCCTCTGCCAACCCTTGAAACCTCACAGCGCTGGAGCTACACTTTGGGGCAGCCTGGAAGAGAAGGGCACGGCCTTTAATCCCCATTGTCCTGTGGCTCCCTCCGAGAGGCTATGACTAACACAGCAGTCTGAGGACTTTAAGCAGATGCGGAATGTTGGTACAGCTGAGTAAGAGCCAAAAAGCAGTATAAAGACCGCCTTGAAGAAGGGGGGTTTTAGATTGCTACTCGAATTAAAAAAAAAAAAAAAAGAGTGTAGTAACTTCATTGGGGGAAAACAAATTAAAAAAAGAACCACCTCTGAACAATCCCTGGCTTTACCTCTCACGGCAGAAAAATGTTGTGGGCGCTCAGTCCTGTGTCCCAGAACGCCTGGGGTCATGGCTGCCAGACCCTCAGCGCCGTGGAAAAGCTGCCTCAGAAAAGTGTCACAAACAAGGAGAGGAAGAGGAAGGAGCTCTGTCTGCCTGTGAATGAAGCTAAAAATGGAAAGCGCGTGTGGTGCAGGAGCGGAACCCAGCCTGCCTTTTCCAAATGGGGAAGACTGAACTTTCCCACCAGCTCCCAATGCAAAACAACTTTCAAAACAACCGCCCCCCCCCTCTGCTGCGTGCTCTTTCATCCTCTCAAGTCTGGAAAGGACTGCATCCTGCCAGCATCACCGAGGTGCAGCTTTTCAGAAATTGTTTGGACCACAGGAAAAATGGGTGAGGGGGGAGAACGCCCCACAGTGGATTTAGACGTGTGGACATCCCACGCCGAATTGAAAAAGCAAAAACAAAACATAAAACTGTTCAATAGAATTCCCGGGAGAGAATTCCTTCAGGAGCCCTCAGCTACAAATAGCACTTTCCATTTAAATCTGAAAGTGTACAAATTCCCAGAAGTCACTGATGTGCTACAGTTTACTGTAACTAAAGTTATAACGAAGAGAGAAGACTCAGAGGACTCGCTCTGCTTCCACTTGTAAATGGATAAGGAGATTCCCGCAAGCCTCTCTTCGCCCGCAGATAGTGTTTTCCAAAGAGAGAGAGAAAAAAGGTAAACGGCTTCTCCGATGTTTTCCTATATACACATATTTGATAAAAAGTAGGTACATGCGCATCATTTCCATGTAAGAGCGCGTCCTCCTTAGCATGTACACATAACACTGGATAAGTCCTTCGGGGTGGCTTCCACATTCTATCTCCTTAAAAACGATGCTTTAAAAAAAGGCAGATGCGAAGTTGTCTTTCCCTCTGTTACGATTGAAACACTCTTGCTTATTTTTATTTGGTTGCAACATGTACAGTCCTGATGCCAAATGTTAAAATAAAACAAAATTTAAAAATGAAGCCAACCCGGAATAGTTACTTTGTTTGACGGGGTTGGGCAGAAGCCACTACTGAAATTTCAAGTGAATTGACAATTACGCCTAGAACTGAAAGGGTTAATGATTCATAAGGAAAAAGTCTTATAAATGTTTGACAGTTCTAAGTGCCTTAAAGCAGAAGCCTTTCTGGTTTCTACTAAGACTACGTTAGCCAAAAAAAAAAAAAAAAAGTTTTCAGATCAATTTCAGATTTACAAAGATCAAGTTCCTTACCAAGGTCGTACCCACAAGTTTTTCCAAGCAAAAATCCAACATCGGAGATAAGTGTCGCTCATCTCTACACAGTCCACATTTCTTCCGCGTCCCCTCGCGGGCTGGGGACGGACGCGCACCGCGGCGGTTCCCTCCCGATCCGCGGCCGCGCCGGCGCCCGCGTCCCTGCTCTCGGCGGCGGACAGGTGCTGCGCGCTGCTCTGCCTCTGCGCAGCACTGGAGGGCCGAGTGTCACGGCAGCACTTTCAGTCTGTGTTAACCAGCGCGGCGGCTGCTCTCCCCTCCCAGCTGCAGATTTCCCATTTGTCTGATTGACTCAACACCAGCGCCCGAAATGGGGGCGTGGCTCACCTGCACCAGCGCAGCCTAGCCCAGCCCAGTGCTTTCCCCAGTTTCCGAGCTTCCAACAGCTTCCTCTGTTCGCTTGTGAATTTCAACATTCACTTGGAATCTTCCTTCTTCCCTTTGAAGGTTCTTAACCTCAACGTTTACTCGGGCTGTATTGTATTCTAAACACTCCAGACCGCCCTCCTTCCTGCTGCGGCTTTTTTGAGGGGCGCACAATCCTTAAATGAAGGAGAACCTAAAAATTACCTCCAAATCTGTTAGCTCCTCGACTCAAACCCACAGTTACAGATTACACGAAACTTACTTGAAAAGAGCAAGTGAAATTATTTTTTCATCTAATGTAATAAAATGTAACCGTCTAGTCCTCAAGCTATTACCTCTGAAATACATTTTTACACACACACACACACACACACACACACTCTCCACCAAACCTGTCAGCTTCCATTTCTCCTGCTAACTAAAATGCTTTCATATTTGGCAGAACTAACTTCCCCTTTTCAACTATTTAGTAAATAGGGAAATAGGAAAAAGTTATCATCCTACAGATTAATGTTTCTTTGCCTTTTCTCTCCCCCCAAAACCCACAGCCAGACTTTCGAGAAGTGTGTAAGCAGTGTAGTGCATTAATCGTTTCCCAGTTAAGGGGAATGTTGAACTGGTCACTCCAAGTGGAGGGCAGACAGAGGCAGTAATTAGTGGGGCTCATTCGGAGCCCTGTCGTTTTGAGCCCTGGCCGGCTTTTCCTCCAGCCCCAGTCAGTCCTTTGTTGAAGGAAGGACATCCTGTGATGATGGCATACAATGTCCTGTTTGTTTATTATTAAGAGCGTAGACCTTGCATTCCTGCTTCTCATTACAAAACAAACCAGATGCTTTACTTCCTTCAATGGTCTTGTGCCTTCAGCAAGGAATCCTCTAATTCAGAGCAACAATGATGCATAGGGTCCATTTACAGCAGGCACCCCTTTACAATGACTGTTTAGATCGCTGACACAAGTCTCCCACTTTTCCTGCTTGCCTCATATAGGTGGTTGTTTTTAAAACCATCTCTCTTTCCACCTTAGGCTGCAATGTCTTTTCTAACATTTTAAATACACATGTGCATACACACCCACATCTCGACACACACACACACCCCCCACGTACACACACCCTGTCTCAACATAATAATACCGACTTAGTCATACAATGAAGTGGACATCTGAGTATTTGTTTACAGGAAGAAACAAAACCAAGCAAAACAAAATCCCAACTCAATCATAAAAACATGTCTGTTTATCTTTAAAACTTCTTTTCTCTTTTTCAGGATGCTTTTCTAGAATTTTGGTGGGGGTGGGGTGGGGGGGAGGGCAAAGATTATGTGCCAGGAAATGGTTTTTTTGTGTCTAAACTCCTTCCACAATCTCTGTGGTACAGAACAATTAAATTCCCACTAGGGGACATAAGTAACACACTCTCCACTTACAGCCTGGTGACCTGTTATTGCATACTATGCCAGAGGGGACGCTAGCACCAAGAGGAAACAGGACTTTTAGTTGGCAGATGTATAAAACTGAATGAACAAGTCCTAAGAGTTCTCAGAAAGCTCCAAAATGAGAATTAAACAAGAGAAATCCAGCCTTCTTCAGAGGGTTTTTTAACAGATGCTGAGTCAGCGCCACAATGGACAGAAAAACAATGTAGTCATACTGAAGGCTGACCTGCTGCTCAAACAGTCTCGCCTGCAGATGTTACAGAGGATCTCACTTCCCTTTCAGAATCAAACTCTGTTCTTGGGCCACATATACCATGCAAGTCCCGGTGAGTCAACCATGATGGAGTAAGGGAATGGGCAAAAAGTTGGATGTTTGAGGTGGGAAGAGGCTATTTTAAGCCAAATATTTACTTTAATGACTGGAAGATGCCAGTGAATCAACTCACTGTTAATTAATCTCAGCCTGCACTCACCTTCAGAGGTGGTGAAATGGGCTTGAGTCTAGGGAGGACGCAAACTTCAAATACCAGTGTGGGGCTTAGCCAGGCAACCTAAAATTAGTTCCAGGTGCTCCAGCTGAGCTGGAGAAGGCCCCGAGTGGAAGCTTAAGGAAAGTACGTTTGGAGACACAGAGTGCTGGGGTAGAAAAGTCTTCACATGTTTGCTTCTTGTCTAAAATAATGCAAAATGCTTCCCACCAAACCAAACCATTTTTTAATTTCAATGATAGCAGTCAAGGATAGGCAATAATATAAAATTAAAAGGAAAAATGCAAAAAGGGAAGAAGGAATAAAGGAAAGGAAGCGTGTCCCATAGTAAGAAAAAGCATGTTCACATGGTCATGTTTAGGTATAGTCCAGCACAAAAATGTTAAAGGGGACCGGAAGGAGGTGGCCTTCTGAACCTCACTCAACCGTTCTAGAAGGCCCAAGCGTCACACTGACAATGCTGATTCAGGCGGGACTGGCATTGGTACAGCGGTGCAGAGAGAGCCATCTAAGGCTGCCACTGTTTGAAATCTTAAATCTCAAGATGTTTGTTTTCAAGTAATAGTTTGGTGCATTTTTGTCACTATATTATTTCCCTCCCTGTTAGAACACCAGAAGAAGAAAAAAAAAACCTCAGTTACCTTTATTAATCAGCATTTCTCAGGCAGAGTTCTCTCGTTAAGAATGTTCTTAACAGTAGCAAATCATGAATGATCCAAATAGCTGGGCTCTCAGAAACCCCCATCTGTTCCCTTTGATGGTATCATCACAACGGCTTGACAAGCCCATGTTATACTCAGTTTCAGCTACTGGCCCCGGCCCAGTACATGGGTGGGTGGAAATTGCAATGTAGGGGCCAGAAGACTGTAGAAGACCAGTGTACAATGAAAGGAGATTGAGTACCAAATCTGGAGATCGGACTTCACTTGAGGGGAAAAAAAAGATCATTTTTTCCTAAAGAAAGTAAAAGATGGGATGAAATGTGCCCAAGATGAAACGTGTTTTCATTTTCTAATTCAACTCCTGCTATAACCAAACAAGGTCAATGACAGACTAACCACATCAAGAGAACACCCCCCCACCTCTTCTCCCCACTCCCTACCCACCCACCCACCCTCACCCCCCACACCCATTTCCCACTTCCTGTAAGTTAGGCATCTTCATGCTGGTAAACATTTGGGGACCAACTGCAAGCTTGAGCTCTAAAAGAGGGGCACTGCGGCTTTGAAGCGCTCCCACATGTCTCAAAGCCAGGCTAAGAACTGGAGGGACACTTGGTTTTTAAACTTTAACAGCCTTTTGAACTCAAATCATTGGGCTCGGCTTCCTGGCTGCCTTCCTTTTCTGAAGCCGGACAAGAAGAGCGAGTATGTGTGAGTGAGAGAGAATGTATGTATGACACATGCTAGATTACAATGCAGCGTGTGTGTCATTGGTGTGATATGTGTATGATATGTTTCAGTGTGTTGCATCAATTTAAAAATAGCACAAGGCTTCCTCCTGGTGACACAGCTCACCACCCCATTACTTTGGGCATACACATTCAGGGCCTGAACCCTGGGGTGGTGATCCTGCAGGGCTGTGGATGTTCTGAAACGAGGTCAGTGTTTCGACTTCCTAAATAAAGGAAACAAAAACTGAGTAAATTAAAGAACCCACACAGAGCTTCCTTTCCTCCCTAGGAATCAAGACCCGGTGAGTGCCATCCAAGGGACTTCATAAAAGCCACACAATGTCTGAGGTCTCAGTATTTACCAGACCACCTGCTATCATCACACCTAAGTGTCTTTTTTATTTTTTTTCCTAGCCCTCTCTTCAGACAGGCAGTTGTGTTTTTACCAACTCATTTATATATTTTTAAAATTTATTGAGTTTGACATCCACCAACTTAGAAAAGAACAATGACAGTTATAATCATTTCCATATAAAGTACGGGGAAACCAAGGTAGGTTTCCAGTTTTTGTTCTTCTTCCTAATTCTGTTTTTATTTTAGTGAATATTCACAGAAGAGAGAGATTTAAATTTCTGAAAGGGCTGTGTGGGGAAGGACGTGGGAAGGCAGATCATTTCTGAACCCAGAAAACATTTCCTAATCATACATTGTTGGGATAAAGGAATGGAACTAAACTAACCAACAGAGGGCAAAACATGGACTGTAAATACAGGAATGGGGGAGAGAAAAAGGAAAGGTTTACATTCTGAAACTCAGCTTTCTCTCCCCTCTTCTCTTCACCAAGGGAAGGGGGAGCAGCCTGACTCAGCAGAGGGACCACGTGGCACAAATGTTTGTTTCTCTCACCTTTCAGTGGGAGGAGAGGCCACACTGAAAGAGGTGAGGACTCCAGGTGGAAATCAAGAGGGAGGGTGTAGATGGGAGCACTTCACTAGAGTCGGATGAGAGGGTCAAGTTGGATTAAAAACAAAGGCCGGCACGCCCTGGCCAGTTTGGCTCAGCGGTTAGAGCGTGGGCCTGCGGTCCGGAGAGACCCGGGTTCGGTTCCCGCTAAGGGCACGTACCTCGGTTGCAGTTTGTCCCCGGTCCTGGTTGGTCGTGCGGGTGGCAACCACTCGATGTGTCCCTTTCACATCGATGTTTCTCTCTCTCCCTCTCTCCCTCCCTCTCTATCTGAACAAAAAATGGAAAAATGTCCTTGGGTGAGGATGAAAAAACAAAACAAACAAACAAAAAAAACAAAGGCGGGCAGCTCAGTTGGTTAGAGCCTTGTTCTGATACACTAAAGTTGTGGGTGTGATCCCAGGTCAGGGCACAGACAAG